TGAATTTACAAGTTATAATTAAACCGAGGTTATGATAAAGGAAGATGGTTTAACACTTGTTAAAATTTTGAGAAAATTTACAAGCTGAAGTTAAGCCGAGGTTATGAAAAAGGATGATGGTAAAACACTTGTTGAAATTTTTGAGAAAAATTTACAAGTTAAAGTCAAGCTCAAGTAATATCTGCATACTTGCCGAGACTACTAGGTTGTCAAAACTTGAAATATGAAAAACTGAAGTCTTGATAGAAGACATTGAGAAAGTGACAAGTCCTAAGCAACACTTGTGAAAATATTTGTTACAATATTTTCAAGTGTTAGGACAAAGCCGAGATGAGCAAGATTAGAAGTTGTGACAGAGGTATTTTACCCAAAGAGATTGCACAGTCAATGTGTACTTTGAAGACATATAAAATTTTCTAAGTATAGAATCATACAAGAGCATAAAAAAGAAGACATACATTCAAAGAAGAAATCAAAGAAATGCATTTAAAAAAGAAAGAATGCACTTCGGCCTGAATATTGAAAAATAAATTATTCAGACTACAAAAATGGCACGTCGGTCGGATTAAAAGCATACAAAGACAGACAAAGTACAAGGTACAAGGTACAAGGAGTAAAAGAAGGAAACAAAACTACTCGGCATCAATGGTAGGATATAGAAGACAGTTGAGAAGACAGTTGGGAAGACTTCTCAGCAGCCTTCTCAGCCTCGAGCTCAGCATCAATCTCCCGAAGAGTTTGATCAAGGCTCTTCTCGGCGATTGGCACCTCAGAGTTTGAAGGCAAGGATTGAAAGCAAGAATCTGGAAAAAGACACAAAAAACAAAAATGAGAATGTAATTCGGAATCAAGAATGGTGATGAAGCTATCAGGAAATCAAGACAAAAAGATTGCACAAGTGTGTCAAGCCAAGAACAGTGGCAGAAATCAACAGATGTGTGAACAGTGTGTATTCAAGAAGATGATTTGGAAACAACGGGTAAAACAGCAATGGTGATTAACAATGAATACTGATGGCGTGGTATCACCAGTATAATAAATCTTACGTGGAGAAAGTCAAGCTCCACTTTTCAAGTGCTACATATATATTATAGGATAAATAGTAAAAAATTATTAGACAATAATATCGATAATATAGTATCACCATTGCATTGACATTTGTTTTGCACGCAGCAGATATCAAGTGTAATAAAGCTTCTTTGCTTCCTTGCTTCCTTACTGGAACAATGGACTAAAGTCTCAAGTAATAAAGTCAATGTCCTACAACTATAAAGGATGATAAAGACCAAAGGATACAAATAAAAATATAAATTAAAAAAATTGTAAAAGAAATATACCAAACCCTGTCCTAAAGGAACTGAATGATGTGTTCAACTGCCCTTTTGCCTTCTCTATTTTGTTTTTTAGGTTTTTAGGTTAAAGGGTTGACATTCAATATTACAAATTTTGTCATATATATATGATATATAAAAATATAAAAAAAAATGTTACTTGCACAGCTTAAATATTAATCATATATGGACGACACTCCCTATATTATATGAGAGAATTTTATAATGTGAAAAAAATAAAGATAATTTAATTATAATTGCTAATGTGCAGTAATATCATATTCAAAATTTAATTCACCCTCATATATATTATTATTGAAACCTTATTTAACGGCACATGATGATATTCAAATTTTCAATAATGGCCATATATATTAGGGGTAGTAGCCTTCAACGCTAGGCAAAATTACACTTGCAATGATGATCATTTCCCTCTATCTTTGGGTAATAGAACCTAGGGGGCAGTTGTGGGGATATATTTTCTAAGTACTAACACGTGGCAAGGTGGCGCCGACGTGTCAGCCGAGGTGCCATGTGTCCTGGTCGTGACGCCGAGGTGATCTCGGCAAGGCCAAGGTTATCTCCGAAGATATCAGAATCTGAGATAAATGGATAAGGGACAAGAGTCCTAGAATGAGAGAAAACTTCAGTTTGTATTAAGATAAGACTCTTAGAGAGTTTATCCTAATCTTACTAGGAGTCCAAGATTAGCAGTAATCCTGAGTCCATAGAAGTTAGGCTTCTATTGGGACTAGGTTTATGTTGGTCATAAAAGAGAGGCACCCCCATGGGTCTACGGTATGCTTTTGATACTCAAGCTTGGAGTTTAGCACTTGATTTATCTTTGAGAGATACGCTGACTTGATCATCGGAGTGCCCCCGGGTGGACAAACCACCGCCGGAATCTTCTCTTTCTGTTGCAGGTTAGCCAGGTGCCATCTATTCTGCCGGTGCTCTCCAGCTGGTTACTAAGCGGGCAGTGTGGTCAGAAAATCACTCACACAATTTCCATGTAAAGCATTGCCTTATATGTTTGGAGTAGAGACCACATCTTTTTGTAATAGGGTTCTAATCCTTGAAATATGTAAACCTTTAGGGCATTTAATTTGAATATCTACAAAACCTTGTAATAGTTCATTACATACTATAGATTCAGGTTTTAGAGTTATGAATGTGTTATTATATGTAATCCCTTTTATAAAATCTCAAAAAATACAGTGACATGAAATACAATGAAAAATATATTTATTTCATTTATGATTGTCATTAAATCATGAGATAATTATTGGCTTCCGCATGTATAATTTAGTTGGATTTTGGAATGAACAATGAATATATATATATAGGCCTCGTTTGGGAAGTGGTTATTTTAGAGG